AGCCAAGTACAAGGGCCTTAGGGGTAGGAGAGAGCTGAGATCCGGCTCTGGGACTCTGAGCAAATTGCTTTCACTCTGTAAAAACCGGGGCTCTAATAGAGCTGTTCACAGTTTTGGGGTGCTGGGAGGATTAAGTGGGATGATGCAAGTGGAAGGCCAAGCACAGGGGAAGCCTACAACTGTAATCTCCATGAAAGCTGGTAACTTTGTCCACTCATGTATTCTAAGTACCTAGAACAGTGCTTGGTATTTAGTATGTGCTTAATAAACACTGTGGAATGGATTTGTCATTTGTCATGATTAGTGACCAGAATACCAGGTTTGTCAATGGAAGCTTTGCTTATCACCACTGTAATACCCTGGGCAAGATTCTGACCTGGATGAGCCTGTTCCCCGTCTGTACAATAAGGATAATAGTGATAGTGACTACTAGGGTTGATGTGAGGGTCACATGAGAGAGTCTGAGGAAGGTCTTTGTCTAGCAGTGCCTCCCAAATGCTGGGCATCATAACCACCGCAAGGAAGATGTGGGCTTCCTAGCCTCTCTGTGCTGGATTTTCATAGAGTGTGGCAAGGTGCTATACCATGAAGGAACACTATTCTGGGGGAGAAAGGAAGTTGGAGGGTTCACCCCAATCATATGAGCCAGGGCAACCCGCCTATGCTGCCTAGGCTCGCTGACCGTGTCTGTGTGGTGGTGATGGTGGGAGGAGTGGTGAACAGTGGACGGGCACCATTTGAGGGCTCTCTCTGTGGCCCTGCATTACAATTCTATGAGGAAGGAGGAAGGGTGGGAACCACATGGGGCTGTGGCAGTGTCCACCAGTGTAGACACTGACTCTGCTGCTTGTCTTATAAAAGGGGCTCAGTGGGGAGGACCAACAGCTGGACTCCCGAGAAGGGAGGGAACCTTCTCCTGTGGGAGGAATGTGGGGTCCTCATTGACAAGGCCCATCCCTGGGGAGTTCTGTTAAGTTCCCAGGGACTTGATGTGCTGCAGAATGTGCGACATTATGCTCTGCTGTGGGAAATATGGGGCAGCAGTGTGCCCACATCTACTTCTGAGGAGTTAACAGCCTGGACTGGAGACCAAGAGTTGGACCTTCAGAAACTGCCCACTCCCTAGAAGGAGGATGAGGCTTGGCTGAATGCGCCCCTGGGAAGCTGGTCTACATCCAGCTAGGCCTCAGGCAGGGAGATCTATACGGGGGAAGCTCCGCTCACTGGTAGCTGCTCTGGTAACATGCTTGCTGCCCATCTGCCTGCATTGCTACCCACACATCTTTCTTCTCACCACTCCCAAAGGAATGCAAACACCCAACAGACAGACTCCAAGTCCACTCTGGCTCGAAGCGACTCTGAGGGTGGTCACCATATCTACTGTTTGCTCTATCCTTTGGGGACCCTGGCACAGGCAGGCAGGGCCCATCTACCCATCCACAGATATTTTGGCTGAGCACTTCTGAAGAGGAATTTTCATTCAAAAGGCTAAGCAGCTGTTCTTTTTCTGTAAATATGCTTGCTGCATGGGCCACACTTGAAATTGACAAAAGACTCATCTTCCCATTTGTTTGATCTCTCTAGGCAACAAATGTAACTGTTTGTACCCCCTAGCAACTCCCTAACAGCAATGTAACTACCTATAACCATAGCAACTCCCCTCGCTTTGTAACGGTCTGAGGACAAATTAACCAATCAGCCCCTGCCAGAAAGGGTCTATATAAGGAATGTTGCAACTTAGCTCTGGGCCCAGATCTTCAGAAAGCTAGCTCCTCTGGGACTGCTGGTGTAATAAACCTGAGTTCTCCAACTCTCCGAGTGCTGCTTGGTTTCTTGCTGGTCTGATTTTGGATCTTTTGTGCAACACCTCGGAATAGACCTCAGGTTCTTCCAGCTCCCCTCTTCTCATGCCCAGTGAGTGTCCACCTCCTCAATCTCCACCCCACCACTTTCCTCAGAATGCTCTCACCACAGCCATTAATGAACTGTGTGGCCAAACCCAATAGCCACTTTCGAGGCCTTAAAATGCTTGAAATGTCTGTACTTAACCTTTAACACAGTTGACCACTCCCTGATCTCCAGCTTCTATAACACTGTTTCTGCTGGTTTTCTTCTCACCACTCAGGCTGCTCCTCCTCCAACTCCCCTAGGGTGGATGTACAGCTTCCTGGGGCTTTCCTGGTTTTAGCACTAAAAGCTCCACAGCTGGGAACTCCCCAAGTTCTGACCTAAGACTCACCCCGCCCAGTTGGGATGCTCCATGTCTCACTCTTGCTTTTGATCTCTTCTCAGTCTCCATGCTCTCCTGGGGCGGGGGTGCTCACCCATTTCTGTGGTCGTAACACCGACTGGGTAACTCCATCTGAGATCCAGAGCCATGAGCTAACTACCCACTGAGCATCTCTGCTCAGGTGTCTCCTGGCAACTCGAACTTACCTGCCTACGACTGACCTGTCATCTGAATCCAACTGCTCATCATTCTGGTCTCCTGTTGCAATAAAGAGCTCCACCATCAACCCAGAAATTAAATATTCTAAACACCTGTCTCCTCTGAACCCCATCCAATTAACAACTTAATTTTGTCAATTTTACCTAAATCCGTTGAGTCTCTCCAAGTATTTCTGTCCTCACTGTCACTCCCATGGTTCAGGTTACCACTATCTCTTGTCCTAATCAGGACAAAGTCTAAAGGGAATGTCAACAGTGGTTATTCCTGGAATGGTAAGTATTATGGGTTGAATTGTGTCCCCATTAGGACTTTGTTGAAGTCTTAACCCTATGACCCGTGCATGCGACCTTATTTGGAATTAGGATCTTTGTAGATGTAATCAAGTTATGATGAGGCGATTAGGGTGGGCCTAATGAAGAAGAAAGTACCATGTGAAGACAGAGACACAGGAAGAACAGCATGTGATGACAGAGGCTGAGATGGCAATAATGCAGCTGCAAGCCAAGGAAAGTCAACAATTGCCAGACACTACCAGAAGCTCGGAAGAGGCGAAAAAGATTCTACCCAGATTCTCAGAGGGAGCACAGCGCTGTTCACACCTTGATTTTGGACTTCTGGCCTCCAGAGCATGAGAGAATTAAATTCTGTTGTTCAAAGCTACCTGGTTTGTGCTACTTCATTATGGCAGTCCTAGGAACTCAATACAGCGAGATAGGGGCAATTTTTATTTTCTTATTTATACTTTTCAATATTTTAGAAATTATCTGTAGTGGATACATAAAACTTTTATGATCAGGAGAAACATTTATTCTTTAAAAATAATCCTCACTCAGCGAGGATCCTAAACACCCCATTAGATTTTTGTCTGAGAATCGAAACTATATACACCCACACACAGTTTACTGATCACATCAACGTGACCCCATTATTCCACTCTCTTCATCAACACAGCTTCACTATTCTAGGAAACTTGCCCAGAAGGATAAAAGTTGCAAATAAGTTTATGATTTGTTTCAGGAACTTTGCAAAAAACATTTAAACAAACGTTCAACTTTTTAATAGCATCGAATGACTATCTAGTTTCAAAGCTCTTCAGAACTCTTTCCTTGCTGTGTCCACCAGTCCTAAACTACTATATCATGATCCTTCCTGATCTTGAGCACTTTCATCAACCTTAATGAAAGACCCTGGAAATTCAGACATCTCTCATCTCTGTCTTTGCCTTTCTGACATCTTCTAAGATTCTGTCAAGAGGGTGTCCCCTTTTCCCATGATGATCAGGCATCTCAGATCTGCTTCATCAGCAGATTGATTTGGTGGTATTTTCAGGCTTCTATATCTAACATATCTGAAATATTACATTTATTGAATGCCTTTGGTGTGCAGAGACTGAACTAAGCACTTAACACGTGCCATTTTACAGTATCTGCTAAACCGAAGCATATTGAAAATTTTAAGAATTTATTTGAGCAAAAATCAATTTGAATCAGGCGGTATCCAATCTAGCACATAGAAAGGAGTTCAGAGTTTAAAAAATGAAAAACTCTAATAGGCAGAAGGGAGCCAGAACAAGGAAGTAGTACCAGGCAAAAAAAAAAAAAAAAAAGTGGGTTGGTCATTATAACAGTTTCTTTCCTTTAAGGGATGACAGGGGTCTACCAGGCAGATTACCTAACTAGTACTGATCAGGTGATTCCTGGTTGACTGGTTTAAGATTTCATTTCTGGGAGAGCCAAAACTGTAATTAAATCTCAGTTTAGTGACATGAGGCGTAGCATAAGCGACTCCATTTTGAGACTGTAGCTGGAGAAACAGACTCAGCCATTGTAAGTGGCATGCTCAAGGCCACACCATTAGTCACAGGAAAGCCTAGGTCTGGCTGACTGCAAAACCTATACTCTGAGCACTCTGCTTCTCCAAATTTAGAGAGACTGTAACACAAAAGACACATTCCAGTCTGGCTATTTGGGAGGAAACAAATGGTATTCTGCTCCCAAATATTCTGATAATTGCTTCAGGTGGATAGACTCCACTCTTCCTGAAAGATCTTGCCCAGTGGGTTTCCTGAGGGGACCATTGCCATCCATAGGGATCATTCCCATCCCATGCAGAGGCAAACCTGCCTGCCAGAACTCCAGTTTCTCTGCCTGGGCCTGAAAATGTGAACCGTGAAGGGCAAATGGGCTTCTGTGGAAGACAAACAATTATTTCAGGCAGTCACATTTCCCACAAGGCACTGGTGCAACAAGTTAGCAGGGAAGAAAGAGCCGGACCCTTTGTACAGCTGGCTGGAACACAAAGCTCATTGTTATGTTTATACATCTTCTATTCAGATGCCATGTGGTACAGACTGCACGCCAACCTGCAGAATAAATTCTTTTCTTCCCCCTCAGTAGCAAATGTACATATTTGCTTTAAAGTAGGCAGAATTTGTCCATGGGTGGTCTTTGATTTGGAAGAAATCAACCCCAGAATGGTGACTCACAAAAAACAAAGGTGGCTTGACTCATTCAGTGCTGGGGAGGGGTATATGTGTGCAGAATTCACTTACCCAGAAGAAGAAGTTGAAGACAAAGAGTAAATACTTCAGGTAGGCGATCAGCCAGTCATCCTGCTCCACCTTGTAATGGGCCATGGTCGCTGGGCCTGCAAAGAAGATACAAGTGCTGAGCCAGTGGGTCCATGGAGAACCACTTTGTCCTTCCTAGAGCCAGAGTTCCACAGCAAGGTGCCCTTCAAATGGCTTAGTAGCTCATCTGGTCAGGTGGGTCTGAGGCTGTGACTGTGCAACCTGGAGCAAAGAGCAGGAAAACACAAAGGCTGCTGACACAAAGGAGGTAAGCTGGGCAGAACTTATAAGACCTTTAGATCTTTGGTTTGTCCTTTTGATACAGGTCTAACCTACAAGTCTTCCTGAAGACTTTGCACTGGCTTTCTTGTGTTGTTTTTCTCTTCCTATCTCATCAGGTTTGTAGGACACAAGTTTACTTGCCTCCTCCCCCCTGCCCCCCCCCCCCCCAGAGCACACCTGCTTTGCATCAAAATCCTGCACTCTGCATCATTTGAACAGGACCTCTGCATGCATGGGTGAGACATGAGCCCCAAATCATAGCATCTGTGCTAGAAAGGATCTCGACGATCACTCAGTCCACCCTACCTCCCCCTGTACCTCAATTTTCCCAATGAGGAAACTGTCAGCAGGCCTAGTGGTTTGGCAGAAAGAAATGCAAGAGCGCTGGAGTCCGATTCCCTGGGATCAAACCTGGATGTGTCATAAGATGTGTGAGACTTAGGACAAGTCCTATTCCTCAGTGTCCTCATCTGTAAATAGGGGTGTTATGAAGATTAAATGGGATCCTAGTCTTTGCCCCAGAACCATGCTCCCTCTCCTTGCCCTAATGCCCACTCATGGACTCTCTGGGAACTGTGACATCAATGAGTGACAAAAGTGGAGAAGGTTTACTGTGTCCGGGAATCCTGTTTGCTTCTCAGTAAGTCTGAATGACAGTCTGTGTGGTTTCCTCCTTGTGCCCCAGGCACCTGTACACATAGACTCACATTCACAGAAAAGTGGCTCCTTAAGAAACTGGCCCCCTTTTAGAGACCTCTTTTATTCTATAACTAGAAGCAATGAGGGATTGGTTTGGCCTATTTCTATCTCTCCCTCCCTAATTCCACACCTCTAGTGGGGCCCTCCTTGCCAGAGCCCTGCTCCTTCTCCTTGGCTGGTGCCGGGCTGAGCCCAGATTACTTCTTTCTGAGCCACAGCTCTGCCTTTTATTTCAAGCTCATGGGCTCTTGAGACAGGGGAAGAGGAAGAGAGAAAAGAAAGGTGGCTGTTTTATTTGGGATTTCTATTTGCAGACTTTGAAGAATGTAATTTAAGACTTTTAGTCTTCTCGTTAAAAAAAGACGAAATCTATTTTTCTCTGATTTAGTCTGAGATTCAGGGTGGTAGAAAAAACACAAAAGGAGAAAAAAGGAAGCCTGTACAAAACGGTGATGGATGGGCTCAGCCAGGCGACTGGAACGGGGATTATTACACGGTCATTCAGACAGAGATTCTCTGGGCCACTGTGGGCCATTAGGAAACTGATGCTCGTTTGGGGCCCAGCCTCTCCTGTCTTCATTCTCTCCCCTCTTTGCCTGCCCATCCTCTCCCAATCAGAGCCCACTGGACTCATGCCACAGAATCGTTTACAGGGTCAGGACCCTGTAAAGGAAAACTATTTTTTTTAAAGTTCAGGCATAAGACTGGATTTAACAAAAAGGAAAACACTTCTGATGGGGAAATTCCGGTCATTAGCGGTAGAAAAGATAGAACCTTAGAATGTCAGGGTCAGCGGAAACCTCTGGGCTCACTTTAATTCAACCTTTTGTAGAAGGAATAAGGAAATCAACACGTGTCTGAGTTAAGACATACATTTTCAAATGGCCTCTCTGAAGTCACAGGCTAATTGGTGGTAGCAGTGGCCTATCCCCACTGCCTAGTGCTCTTTCCCGCATCACACCCCCACTGTATGTGGGCCCCCGTGCTGGGGGTGGCAGAGGTCCCAAAAAAGTGTCAGTACCAGCTGGGAGCCAGATGCTTGGATCAGAAAGCTAGCCTTGTCATTTCCTGGCCGTGTGACCTTGGCCAAGTTATTAATCTCTTTGTGCAGCTAACATTTATTGAATACTTATTATGTGTCAGGCACAAGACAGTATATTGTTCCATCTTTCTAATAGCCCTATGAAGTAAGGTTATTCCCATTTGGCAAGATAAGGAAATTGAGACTTGGATAGGTCAAATAACCTTTCCAAAGTCACATAGCAAATAAGTGGCAAGGCCAGACTAGAATGAGGAGCTTCTGACTCTGCTCAAACTCTTACCCACTGTGTAGTGCTCTCAAGACCAGAGCTGCCAGGAGAAAGAGGAAGGGAGACACAAAGGCTGCTGGTTTTGCTAATACTTGTTCCCCACTTCTGCCTTAAGACTTGAATCACTCAATTTCAGTTGGATACTTGGCCACGTGGAGCAGATGAAATTTCTCAGCATCCCTTCTTGGTAAGTATGGGCAAACAGCATGTAAGCAGAAGTGAAGCTTCTTGGATGTATCATTTTTTTTTTTGGTGTATATTTCACATGTATTTGAAAAGAATGTGATTTCTGTCACTGTAGGGTACAGAACTCTCTGTGTGTCAATTAGGTCAAATTTGTTAACTATACTTTTCACAACTATATTTTTTTACCTTACTGATTTTGTGTTTTGTTTTCTTGTTTATTGAAAAAGGCTTATTACAGACTCCCACTACTACCAGGAATTTGTCTATCCTTCAATTTTGTACACTTGTGAAACTCTTTTATGCAGAGCATACAGATTTGGAATGGTGGTATCACCCTAGTAACTCGATCCCTTTACCATTAATAAATGTCATTCTCTCTCTCTAATAACCAGTAATATCCTTAAAGTGAGGATACCATTAATAAATGTCATTCTTTACCATTAATAAATGTCATTCTCTCTCTCTAATAACCAGTAATATCCTTAAAGTGAGGGGGGGGGCATATATCTCTTCACCCTGTCCTTTTTCCCGTTGGTTGGAATCCTGAGGTAATGGTGGAGATAAAGCAGCCACTTTGATCCATGAGCTGTAAACCATGAGTTGAGAAGGGCAGAGAAATTAGTTCAAAGAGCCTGGCTCTCAAATAATTTTGGAGCTGTCATACTATTCTTGGACTGTTCATCTCCAGACTTAGTTTATAGGATGAACAACAAACTTGTAGCTTCTTTAAGGTGCATGTTTAAATATTTATTACCCTAAACTAACTTCACCCTGATACAGTAGAGGGAGAAGTGGGTAAAGGTGTTCAAAAGCATGGTATGCAGGGACACTACAGATGGGGCAGTAAGACCACAAGATGACACTAGGCAGTGGCCACCAAGCTCTTTTAACCATATATTCCATCTCTAAAATGTTTTAAGCATATCCCATTTATGTGTATATTTATTTAAAAATTGTATTCATGTACTATTGTCAATCTATATAGTAAATATCATCAAAGCTTAATTTTGCTTTGTTTAAAGACAAAAACAATTAGGAATAGGAAGGAATTCTAAGTAGATTGCCTGTCTCCACATAGGGGCCCACTGGTGCAGAGGATGAATGAAGGAGTGAGAGCTTAAGGTGTACAGTTAAGCAGGGATTGGGTCAAGAGTGGCTAAGCCAGGAACTTGAATTCATGTCTTGAAAGAGATGCAGAACCACAGGAGAAGTATTCAGAGCGGTATTCCCTTGATGAGACTTGCATTTCAGAAAAAGTCCTCTTGCAGTGGCTGAAAAAGGCTGGGGCTGACCAGCTGCCTGGAGACTCTAGAAAGTTGGTGCTAAAGTCCAAGGAAGAGAGGGTGAGGTCTGAACCAGCCCAGTGGCAGCAGGGTCAAAGAGCAAGGGACAGACACTGACAGGCAGGCAGTGTCACAATAGGAGGCAGCGGAGGAAAGACCCCAGGGAGGAAGAAGAGGAAGCCATGTAGGAGAGTTACCTGCAAAGAAGGGGAGGAAGGGCATGTGTGCCCTGTGCTGCCCAGAGGTCCCAATCACATGAGGACTAGCAAGGGCTCACCTTGGCCAGAGCAGCATCAGTGGAGGGTGACAGTAGGTTAGGAATCCAGGGAAGGGCAGGAAATAACGACCTAGAGGTAAACTTTTTTAAAGGAGAAGGCTAGGGAAGCAATTAGATGAAGTCCTCGGGTAAAGGAGCCTTTCTGCCTTGTAAGGAAGGAAGTCTTTCGCATGCTTACGTCCCTGGGAAAGATTCCACAGCCCAATCACCTAGTTCTACTATCTAGTGCCAGGGTTGGGTGGAGAGGACTGAAGGAGGATGAAACAGAAATGCCTGCCCTTCCCCCCTCTCTAGCTCCTTAAAGCAACACTGCCCAGGCCAGGTGGTTCCAGATGGGACCTGTGTACTCTCCTGTGTTTGGAGAAGGATACATGGAAGGAGGGGAGGGATGGATGGAGTGGGACGTAGAATGGCCAAAGCAGCCCCTGGAGAGGAGAAAACCAAACACCCACTACTTGATTGGCTTTAACTCTCATGCCAGTCAACGTAGGAACCAAGGCTTTGGATAATTTCCCATTTTCACTAAGCTCTGAAGAATGTCTCATGATTTCTGGGAAACACACTGACCTTCCTAAGTGGGTTTTATTTCTGTCTAGTTCTACACAGAGGATAGGGAGCCAGACTTCCTGAACCAGTGAGAGGAAGTGTCACTAAGGGGCAAGAGGCAGACAGTGGGGGGTAGGCCAGGCAGGGACACCCTCCCCCCGACAACCCAAGGGGTAGTCAACATTTGTCATGGGGTCCTAGACAAGCCTGTAAGTACAAAGAAGAGGTGACTGTTTCTTCAGCTAAGCTGATCTCTTCTGTGGCTCTTAACAGACTGGTGGCACCCTTCTCTGGGCCTGTGCTCTGCCGAGGCCTGAATCTGAATCTGAAGTACCAGCTGCCTGCTGCCTGTCCAATGCTTCAGGCTCAGTGGGGTCCCACCCTCTCTGAAAGTGGCTGTCCCCACTTTCCCTGCCTGAACCCAGTGCCCACTGACATCAGAATATGGTTTAGATACTTTTCAGTACTTTTTCTTTGTTCTAACAAGCTGCCTG